TATATTTTCATATATCTGAAAATATAATAAAGTTTTTCATTTTTATTGATATATTGTTAAAATAATTTAAAATTGTAATAAAATGAATTTGATCGTTTTGGAGATATGTCTATTATATGAACAAATCCAAACAAAAACTGATCCACTAATTATCATAAAGCAATTCAATTCTATTTGCGGATGATATCCGTCGACATGCGTCATCATGTCCTAAAATTGTAGAAGGCGTAGGCCGTGAACTGTTGCTGATTATGATTGATGTCTTGAAATTGTTTCGAACGATATTTCAGAGCTTGATTAGTTTACCGTCTTTTGGAATCCACATATAATCTCTATGGATGACTAAATATGTCAGATTTTATGCATATATGCAACAATGTGCTTTTTTTCTAATTTTTTCATTCGTTCTAGTTCCAGTTCTTCGTATTTAATTATCTTCCGTAATTATTTAATAGCATACTTTGTGACTAATTCATAGACTCGTTCGAATATATTGATTGTTAAGTGATTGATTAAAAAAAATTTTCTTCATATAATTTGCTACACTACTGTCACGACTACTTTTTTCAACATAAACTTTTTCTAAATTTTAATTATATAAAAAGCTCATTTTTGCAACTTTAATCCCCCCTAATTTTTCATAAAATTATACAGCAGTTCGGTCTAGTCTTAAATCCCACGAGTTATAATTATTAACAACGATGAAATTAAAATTAGAAAATTTATTCGGATTTTTTGGATTCAAAATTTTTAACTTCCGGAGAATAAAAAATTTTCGAATGTTTTTGGCAGTTCAGTTGAGAATTAAATAATATTTCAAGAATTCTAACGATAATTATTAACACTCTAAGCGCTTAAACTAACTATTTAAAAAAAATATCGCGGTTTTTCTTCTATTGTCAACTTCACTATTGTGAAGTTACGACAATACGTTACTTTTCTTTATAATCAAATGCAAATTTAAAAATTACGTAACTTCCTAACCACGCTCAGAAAATTGTGCTGTTTTTTTTACGTAAAGGAAAATAGTAGAGCGATGATGAAATTTTTATGCCTGTGCCATGATGTATGACACTTGATATTAGAAACTCGTTTGTCTACATCACGTTGATCGCAAGAACGTGATATAATAAATCAATCCGCTGAAATCAATCATCCGCAATCCGAAATTGTGAATTGAAAAATCTCTTTT